CCCGGGACCATAAACCTGCCTTTCCACAGAGCCCACGTCAGCCCCACTGCCCCAGCACGGGGCCCTTGGCTGGGCAGGGAGATGCCAAAGCTGGGTGACCCTGCTTGGCCCCAGGGTGATGAGACCTCCACCTCCCAGGGCTCGGGCACTCCCCCAGCACCCCCAGGTTTGGTGACAAGATGACACAGAGCTGGCAGAGGTGGCACAAACCCCCCTCCCTGCAGCACAGCCCCCAGCCCACCTGCCAGGTGCTCCTCAGAGGGCACCACCTTGCACTTCTTGAAGAACTCATCCGTGAGGACGTCCACCACCAGCAGCCTGGTCTCATCGCCACCCGCCTTGATGGCTGCCACCACATCGGCGTGCTGCTTGCCCTCCATGCACACCCCGTTCACCTGCGGGCATGGCACCACGTCACCGCTGGGGCCAGGGAACATCCATCCCTTGGGAGCTCCACGGAGGGGCCGGGTACCAGCCTTGGTACCAGTCACAACCCCAGCACAGCCAGCCCACAGCCCCCGCAGGTATCCACAGCCTCCTAGGGATTAGTGGTGAAGCCAGCAAAATCTCATTAAAAGCAGATTTTCCTCTGAGTGATTAGCACGGGATCATACAGGCAAAGCTGGCAGGGAGTGCCCAGCAGGGCATGGACCAAGGGCTGGCGCAGGAGATGGGCAGAACAGGCAAGGCACAAAGCCCTCATGCCATGGCATGGTCCCCAGAGACCCTAAAGCTTCGCCCCAAAAGAGGCAGCAGCCCCACACCCTGGTGAGCAGCAGGGTCGGGGCTCAGCCAGTTCTTGCCCTCATGGGTCACCATCCCCCCTGGCACAAACCCTGTCCCCGTCCCCACCCCAGTCACTGCCAGCAGCAGGGTTTGGGGCCATCGTGCACCTTGTCTTCAGCCTACCCCACCCCACCCCACCCCAGGGACAGCCCAGGGACACTCCTGCTCCGGCAAGGGGACAGTGCTACCACTGCTTAACCCATAGCTGGCTAATTAGTTCTCAGCCCCAGCCCTCTGCAGTGCTGCTCCTCACCGCCTGCCTAGCTGTGCCCCTGGGTGGGGACTGGCAGGGGGCAGCTGTGCTGTGAGTCACTGCCGGCACCAGGGACACCGTGCACCTTCCCAGCAAAGGGCACCTCCCTCCTGGGCACTGGGATGCAAGAGAGCACCAAGCTTTTCAGGGAGACCCCCCCTGCCCCAGCATACCTCGATGATGCGGTCCTGGGGGGCCAGCCCCACCACCTCAGCTGGCGAGTCGGGGTCGACGGCACGCACGTACTGTCCCGGGCGGCTCTTGTCACTGTGCAGGTTGAAGCCATAGCCATTGGGGCCCTTCTTCATGCAGCACAGCCGAGGCCGCAGCTCCTCCTGCAATGGGGACAGCCCGTGGGAAACCTGCTCCCGGACCCCCAACATCCAGGGACAGCTCTGGGACCACCCTTGTCTGCTTGGGTGGCAGGGGCATC